ATTCTCTTCACTCTCTATAATTGTAACGATCCGGCCGGTCGTTTTGAGTATTATAACTCTGTTTCCCCCATTTACTGCTCAATTTATGTTGTACATTTGTTATGTAACTTGTCGGGGATAATTGGTTCGGGTCCGATGAGGTTTTTGAATGATTTGGAACACCTGGTTCCAAGGTTTCGAAATTTAGTTAAAAAGGTTGACCAGATGTTGACGTATGTGTAGTGACCCGTAGAATTTTTGCTAAGAAAATTAAAGTTTTGTGGTATCGAGGTAGATCAATTAGTATAAAGGTTGGCTGGGATTTATATTTGCGAGATTATTCGTCTGCATAGTGTGCCGGTGTCCATCATTTCAGATCGGGGCACACAGTTTACATCACAGATTTGGAGAGCAGTGCAGCGAGAATTGGGCACACAGGTTCAGTTAAGTACAACATTTCACCCTCAGACGGACGGACAGTCCGAGCGCATTATTCGGATATTGGAGGATATATTACGCGCTTGTGTCATTGATTTTGGGGGTTCTTGGGATCAATTTCTGGCACTCGCGGAGTTTGTTTACAATAATAGCTATCAGTCAAGCATTCAGATAGCTCCGTATGAAGCGTTATATGGGAGACGGTGTCGATCTCCGGTGGGTTGGTTTGAGCCGAGTGAGGTTAGAATATTGGGTACTGACTTGGTTTAGGATGCTTTAGAGAAGGTCAAAGTAATTCAAGAACGGCTTCGCACGACACAATCTAGACAGAAGAGTTATGCCGACAGGAAGGTTCGTGATGTTGTTCACATGGTTGGGGAGAAGGTTCTGCTCAAGATTTCACCTATGAAGGGTGTGTTGAGGTTCGAGAGGAAGTACAAGTTGATCCCTCGGTATATTACACCTTTTGAGATACTTAAGAAAATTGGAGAGGTGGCTTATGAACTTGCTTTGCCACCTAGTCTATCAGGTGTTCATCCAGTGTTCCATGTATCCATGCTCAGAAAGTATGTCGGAGATCCGTCTCACATTCTGGATTTCAGTATAGTGCAGCTGGACGGTAATTTGACTTATGATGTAGAGCCGGTGGCTACTTTAGACCGGCAGGTTCAAAAGCTGAGGTCCAAGAACATAGCATCCGTGAAGGTGCAGTGGAGAGGCCAGCCATTCAGAGAAGCTACTTGGGAGATTGAGCAGGAGATGCGGAGTAAATACCCACACTTATTTGAGACTCTAGGTAATATTCTAAACCCGTTCGAGGACAAATGTTTGTTTAAGAGGGGGAGAATGTAACGACCCGGCCGGTTATTTTGAGTATTATAACTCTATTTCCCCATTTACTGCTCAATTTATGCTTTACATTTGTTATGTGACTTGTCAGGGATAATTGGTTCAGGTCCGGTGAGGTTTTTGAATAATTTGGAACACCTAGTTCCAAGGTTTCGAAATTTAATTGAAAAGGTTGACCAGATGTTGACGTATGTGTAGTGACCTGGAGAAGTTTTGCTAAGGAAATTAAGGTTTTGTGGTGTCGAGGTAGATCAATTAGTACAGGGTGTAGTATGAGTACAACCAACTCGCAAGCTCGCCGCGGCTCAGACGTTTTGGGTTGAACAATGTACAGGAAAGTAAAGGAAATTTTTTGGCGGAAAAACGTATTTTTGCGGTCCATTATGCGATCGCATAATCACTCTGCGGGCCGCATAATGGCTGCAGAAGTGAGGCAGAAGAGGGCCATTTTGGATGAAATTAGTGACCGCATACACAGACAGATGTTTGCCAGTGTGGGGCACTGATTATGTGACTGATATGCGGTCTGCATAACCATTATGCGACCGCAGAACCTGTTCCCGGGAAGGTTAACCAGATGTTGACGTATGTGTAGTGACCCGGAGAAGTTTTGCTAAGGAAATTAAGGTTTTGTGGTGTCGAGGTAGATCAATTATTATAGGGTGTAGTATGAGTACAACCAACTCGCAAGCTCGCCGCGGCTCGGACCTTTTGGGTTGAACAATGTACCGGAAAGTAATGGAAATCTTTTGGCGGAAAAACGCATTTATGCGGTCCATTATGCGACCGCATAATCACTCTGCGGGCCGCATAATGGTCGTAGAAGTGAGGCAGAAGAGGGCCAGTTTGGATAAAATTTGCGGTCGACTATGCGACCGCATATCTGTTCTGCGGTCGCATAGTGACCGCATACACAGACAAATATTTGCCAGTATTGGGCACCGATTATGCGACTGATATGCGGTCTGCATAACCATTATGCGGTCGCATATGCGACCGCAGAACCTGTTCCGGGGCTTCATTTTTCTATTTTTATAAACCCGATCCCATTCTTATAAAACACTATTGGTGGTCATTTTGAAGGGTTTCATCTGATATTTTAGAGAGAGATGAGAGCATTTTAGAGAGCGAAAGTGAAGACTTAGTCATTTATCCATCAATTCTTGTTCAAGGTTTGAAGATTTCACAAGGATCTTGCTAGGGCTTCAAAGAGGTAAGAATTTCTTTCCTCAATTATTCAATTTCGGGTTTTGAGTAAAGATGAGTGATTAATAGTATGATTCTTGGGTGTAAGAGTATTATGTATACATACCAATAAGGTTGTGGAAAGATTGTTAAGTTCAAATAGGTAAAGATTGGGTTGAAAATGGTAGAAATCTTCATAGACTTTAATTGAAGATTTGAGGTTCGAGTTGATGTCGGATTTTGGTAAAATTTGTATGGTTGGACTCGTGGTTGGATGGGCGTTCATATTCTATAACTTTTGTCGGGTTNTTTAATTGAAAATTTGAGGTTCGAGTTGATGTCGGATTTTGATAAAATTTATATGGTTAGACTCGTGGTTGGATGCGGGTTCATATTCTGTAACTTTTATCGGGTTTCGAGACATGGTCCCCACGGACAATTTTTGAGTTAATTTCGGATTTTATTGGAGACATTATTATTTACTTATGGAATTAATTACAATAATTGGTATTGACTGAATCGAATTAATTGTGGCTAGATACGAGGCTTTCGGAGACCAATTCTCGTGGAAAGGGCATAGCGAAATAAAGAATTACACGGGTTGAGGTAAGTAACAGTTTTAAATCTGGTCCTGAGGGCATGAAACATCGAATTTTGTGTCACGTAATTATTTTGGAGGTGACGCACATGCTAAGTGACGGGCGTGCGGGCATGCACCGAGGGGATTGTGACTTGGTCCGTCCCGTGGAAACTGTATAGTTGAATAATTTATTGTTAGCTATATGCTCTCTATGTGTTGAAGAAATTTGACTATAAATCATGTTAGAAATCATGCTTAGGCTATGTTATAGTACTGTTAGGACCCGCAGAGGTCGCGTACTTGTTGAATTATTTGCTAATTGCTGTCTTCTACTCAGTCATGATTTTTCTTGCGTATTATACCTCAGTCTTTCTGGATATTTATTGATACACTATGTTATCTTTGTTTAGTTTGATCTTTGTGATTTCTAAGAGCCCGAGAAGACTAGAGAGGTTGAGGACTGAGTAAGGCCGAGGGCCTGTCGGTGAGGTAAGGATATTATGGCACGTGAGTTGTCTGTGCAGGATATTATAGCACGTGTGTTGTCCGTGTAGCACGTGAGTTGTCCATGCAAATTATGGCGCTTGGGCTGTAGGAGCCCCTCCGGAGTCTGTACACCCCCAGTAAGCGCGTGTACCCATTGAGTGTGAGTGTTGAGGGCTGAGAGGCGAGCGATTGAACTGTTGCCCTGAGAGGATGTATTTGCTTTTCATTTGTTGTTGCACTTAGTTGCTATATGTAATTGTTGTAAAATTTTCTAAAAGATTTTATATCCGGATTACATGAAATTGAATTGTATAAAAATTGATTTGATTTAAACTGCCAGATTTGAAAGCATGTTTATTCTTTACTAGAATTACTGAAAGTGAACTATAACTGTGAAGCTCGTCACTATCTTCAGTTCCTTAGTTATTATTGTTACTTGCTGAGTTGGTTGTACTCATACTACACTCTGTACTTCATGTGCAAATTCAGGTATTTTCGGACATAGAGGGTGTTGATTCTTTCGTACAGTTGATTTTTCGGAGATTCAGAGGTAGCAGCCGTGTTTCGCAGACCTTGCCTCTCCTTTCCTATCTCCTTATTTACATTATTTAGTCTCAGAATGTTATTGACCGTATTTTTCAGACTTGTATTCATATTAGATGCTCATGTACTCAGTGACAACAGGTTTTTGGGAGTGTTCGTATCAGTATTTGTGGGATTTTGTATTATTTTTAAATTATTGTATTTTCAAACTTAAAGAGAAATTATGGTTTATGGAGATTATCGGCTTGCCTAGTATTGAGATACGAGCCATCACGACAGGTTGGGATTTTGGGTCGTGACAATAATCTTTGATAGTAGGTTCACTGGTGATAGGTCTCTATTTTGTATTTCCTGAGAAAATTATTTTTGAAAAACTTCCACAGCTTCATTGGCTATATCTTCCTCTCCTTCAATCCAGTTGCCATCCCCCTTCCTTATTTTCTTAAGAGAAAGTCTCTTATTCCTTCCCTTAACAACTAAATGAAAAAAATTGATCATATTAAAGAAATAATAGATAATATGGATATTCATATTATCCGATGGTTAACCCATTTATTATCCGTATTAAATGTGGGTGAGGTCGAATAATTTATCCATTTTTACGTTACCCGTTTCTGACCTGCCCATATCCGACCCGACCCGCCCATTTGTCATCTCTACTTACAACACATTTTTAACAAGAGTAGCTTTACCACCATAAGAAAGCATTTTTCTTGTCAGCCTTGTAATCTTGAAGCTACATTTGACACCATATTGTTAAAGTACATAACCTTTTTCCTTCCAATATAAATAGGACACCCAAGGTATTTCATAGGGAATTCTGAAGCCGTGACACCAGTGATTCTTTCCACCTCTGCAATTGCAACATCGAGAGAATTTGAATGTGTAAAGAAACCTGACTTCTGTTTATTTACTAATTAGCGTGAGCATTGTTCATAGATTTTCAAATTAACCATCATCATCTTCAAAGATTCTAGATCATCGGAGGAGAACAAAACAGTATCATCCACATAGTATAAATGAGTAATAAAAGGCTCTTTCCTATCAACAACATAAGGAATAAATCCACCATTTACTAAACTAACTATCAATATTGAAAGAGGTTTAGCTCCTATGACAAATAATGAGGGTGATAAAGGGCCCACCTGCTTGATTCCTCTGGTTGACTTAAAGAAACCATATCTACCCCTATTTATATTCACTGAGTACCATACATTTGACAGGGTCCTCCATACTCTGTCTATCCATAGTTCATTGAATCTAAGTTGTCTAAGTACTTGGCATAGATAGTCCCATTCAACTCTGTCATAAGCCTTTGTCATGTTAAGCTTCAGTACTACATTTCCATGCTGCTTAGGCTTTCTGATGCTATATACTATCTCATAAGTCAACATAATATTTTTATTGATTGATCTCCCTTTTAATAAAGCCTGTTTGGTTAGGAAAGATCATTTTCTGCATCAATGGGGCCAGTCTCTGATTCAACAACTTTGAGATGATCTTACAGGTGAAGTTACTTAGACTTATTGGTCTGAGTTCACTAAACTGCTGTGGGCACTCCACCTTAAGTATGAGTACAAGGCATGTATGTGTGAATGCCTTTGGTAATTCAGTACCTGCAAAAAAATTAAGTATCATTAGTAAAATATCATTCTTGATGATCTCCAAACAAGAATGATAGAACTTTTCAGACATTCCATCAGGTCCTATTGCACTATGGCTGCTCATCGACATCACCACATCCCATATTTCCTCTATCGTAGGGATAACATTCTGTGCCAAATTATCTCCACTCCCTATAATAATTGGTAGTAGGTTCACTAGTAATAGGTCTCTATTATGTATTTCCTGAGAAACTTATTTCTGAAAAATTTCCACAGCTTCATTGGCTATGTCTTCCCCTCAATCAATTTAATTTCCATCCTCCTTCCTTATTTTCTTGAGAGAAATTCTCTTCTTCCTTCCCTTAACAATTGAATGAAAAAAATTGGAATAGACTTCACCCTCTACAAACCATCTGATCCCAGCTTTCTGTTTCCAATAATTCTCATCTTTCTTTACTACTCTAATCAGTTTTACATTAACCTGGTTAAGAGCAGTTCTATAGTATTCAGAGTTATCAGCAATGGATATAGCCTCTAGGTCTGCTACCCTATCTTCTAGCTCCTTTAATTTATCAAAAAGGTTACCAATAGAGTTTCTACACCACTCATATATCCTCTTTGACGTATTCTTTAGTTTCAAATAAAATCTCCACAATGGAGAGCCATTAATCTCCTCATTCCATACTTGTTCCACCACCTCCATGAAGTCAGGTTCATTAACCCAAAAGTCCAAGAATTTAAAATATTTAATAGGTTCCTTACTCTTGGAAATCACTTTGATGAATAGAGGGAAATGATATTCAAAACCAGTTCTAACTAAGTGTGAGACATTTGTAGTAGCAAACTGATTCATCCATTCTTGATTCACCAGCACTCTATCCAATCTCTTCCAAACTCTCCTATTTGACTCCATCCATTACACCAAATAAAATTGGAGCCAGTATACCTAGCATCCATCCAGTCACAATCTATGATACACTGTAAAAAGGCTATACGTTTAGCCATTCTATGTGAACTTTCTCCCATTTTTCTATAGGATAAAGAATGCAGTTAAAGTCTCCAGCCACAATCCAGGATATCTTATATGTATCAAAAATAAGCTTAAGACTATCCCATAGGAATTCTCTCTCACTTCCTTAACATTTATCATAAACAAATGACATCAAAAGGGAACTTCCATCCACTGTCACTTCACATGTAACTTGTTGCTCATCAGACTGCACCACCTGACATACCACTAGTTCATCCCAAAATACCCATATCTAACTATTAACATTGGATAATGTATTTTCATAACCCAACATTCTTTTGTATTTTTTCAGTTTATCAACCTTGTAGAAAAGTTTTGATATTGCAATAATTGGAAATTTCTAGCTTCTAATCATTTGTCTAAGTCTCTCAAGGGCACCCCATAGATTTTATGCTCCTACAATTCCAAAAAGGAGACTTAATCATGATAAACTTATTCAGAGAGTTTTTGACCTTGTGATAAGCTCACAGGGTGTTTGTTGGATTGCCTGCCACCCCTTCCTCTTTTTGAACCAGTACCTCTCTTTGGATTTGATCTGTCTCTAGGTGGCGGATGAGCCTTGCCAAGTATTTCATCCACTACCATGTCAAAGTTTTCATTTGGGTTAGTTTGAGGAGAAAAAGCTTAAATAAGTGACTCCATATTCTCATCACTATCTTCGCTATTGCCTTCACTCTTATCCTCATTGTCAACACTAGCATAGTCACCACTATCTTCTGAGCTTTCACCATCCTCAAAATCGGCCTCTTTTGCACTATCCTCTTCATCCTCAAACGATTCAGACAGTTCTCCTGGACTCTCCTTGTCAATCTCAAGTTTCTTCTGTGAGGTCTCCAAGTTGGTTCCACATATTAACTTGTTGAAAGCATTTTGCACTTGTCCAGGATCAATAACATGAGATGTGGTCGCTTCCTCCCTTTGTCTACTTAGCCTCTCCTTTACAAATGAGGTCTTCTTATTGTTATCATTTTGCTTTATACCTGTTCCAACATTGTTTTTCTCCATAAGAGTAGTAGGTGTTGTGTTTCTACCCTTCACGTATCTTGCTAATTCCGTAAGAGTCATTTCAGGTGATTCAGAAACTATTTTCTCTAATGTAGCTTGCTCTTCCCTAGTGTTCATTGACTTGTCTACCTCCTGATCTTCCTTCACCATCCTCAACTTTTCTATTTTATTGCCCACTATCTCTTGTCTAGAAATATTTGTATTTGCCTCTACTTCCTCATTTTGTATATTTGACACTTGTTGTTCTTGCCATTTGACTTGTTTCTTTCCTTGTTTATTCTCTTTTGTTTTTTCTGCTTATTTGGATTCTTTGTGGATATCTTCTCCTGATTTTCCATAATTTCCCTAACCCTGAATGTCTCATTCACCTCCTCTAGAATTTTATCAATTCCTTTACCCTTGCCTGGAACTTCTACTATACTTTTTTCTGAATGTGTGATGCTTGGTTCCTTGAAAACTACCCCATTACTCTTCCTGCTATTGTGTTTGTTAGTTTGTGTGACATGTGGTTTGCTAGTGGTTACTTATGGTTTTGCTTTTGTTGGATTATCTCTTGTTCTCCTTCTTCTGGTTACACTCTGAAAATCATCCCCCATCTCTGTGAGGAAAATCATCCCCCATCTCTGTGAGATTGGCACTTACCTGCTTTTCTTCCACTTGAGCTTTGTTCCTCTAATCCCTTATTTTATTTCTACACTGACTTTTCAAATGGCCCTGCATGAAGCAATATTGACAATAGCTAGGGGCACCCTAATATTCAATCTTCATCAATACCCCACATTCCTTGCCATCTAAAGTGTTGAATCCAATCCATAACTCATTTAACTTTGGTTTTAGCAAGTCAATTTCAAATTTGATCTTAGTCACATTTCCTCTAGACTAGGAATATGTGGCCATATCAGGAGCTACAACATTCCAAATTGCAATTACCATTCTAGAAACAACGTCCCACCTGAATAGATGCCATGGCAGCTGATGTGTTAAGATTCAAACTAGAACAATAGATGTTTCCACTTCTGGCCTAAAATCTAGGGTCTATTTCATGATTTTCATTGGGGCTATTCCAATATTCACAAATGATCGAGTTCCCACATGAGTAAAATCAACTTCATTATCAAAATCCAGATACACATGTTGATGATCAAAATGTGAAATTTTAACAGTTCCCCTAAGCTGAAATTGACTAACAAACTCTTTCCTTAAGTCTTCCATCGTTGGTTTTCCCCTATAAAGCTTCCCAATAATTGTAAATTTACAATCTTGAGCAAGATTCACAAAGTAATCCCTAACAATGAAAAAGACAGTTGTTTTTCCAAGATGCATACCATGTTTGATTGAAACTGGGGTTTTACCTGAATTCCCAATTGCCAACTTTGCCTGAACAGCAGCCGTAAGAGATGGTTTGGAAGTACCTGGATTATTTTGTCTATTCATAGTTGTGGTAGGTATTCTAATCCCAACACCATGTGGATTCATAGATATTTCACTCTGGCATTGATTTGATGCTGGCCTAGTCGGATTAGCACCCATCTGTTCATTCCTATTTGGAGCCTCTGATGCATTTGCCTTCTTATTGTGATTAATCTTATCAAAGTTTGATGATACCTTTGGGAAATTCTGAACTGAACTCTTACTATTGTGGTTAGTCTTTGCTTCTTGAGAATTTGGAACTTCATCTTCCATCTTCGATTGCCCAGAAGTCTCTTGTTCTGGTGTTTTAGAATCATCGTCGCTGTTATTGTTTTCCAGATGTACCTCTAACTGAGAACTAGTGGATTTCTCCACTTCCTTCATGAATTTGGGGTTTCCAGATTTGGTGATCAGAAGAAATTTAGGGGTGGTGGTAGGTGGGTTTAGGCTACGTGTCGATGTGGGAATTGGTTTTAGGTTAGTTGTCGCTTTTTCACTAGGTGCGGGCTTTGATAGATCTGGTGGGTCCTGAGGTGGTTTGTCATTGGGCTGGGTCATAGTGAGAGAAAATCTAGAGAAAAGGGAGAGAAAATCTTTTGTTTTTCTGATCTGCAATTCCCTCTATCATCAATTTCCAGTTAATGTGATACCAATTTCTCTGTTAACTTTTGCATTTTGATCTTTTCCTAGTGGATTTCAGAATAGTACTGTAGCACAAGTTAGGCATAGTACTTGTTTAAGAATTGTATACATTTCTATTATCGAATTGATTCTCTCCCTCTCTAGACTGCCTGCTTAGTTACTATTGCAAGGAATTGTCCTAACATGATCTGATTTTATTCGTGTATAATCAAGCCTCAAACTCCTGATTACTTAACCATTAGACCACTTGATGATGGTATTGGGGAAATTGTGCAACACTGCAAGGAATTGCGTCAACTTTGGCTTTCTGGACTCATTATAGATTGTATGTTTGAGTACATTGGGTCCATGCTAAGAAGTTAAAGATGCTTCCATAGCTTTTGCTGGGGATAATGGTCTAGGCCTCCACTACGTGCTCTCTGCTTTTTAAAGCCTCAGTAAGTTGGTTGGAGATCAAATATTGCTTCTTTCGCACTGAGGCTATGTTGGCCAATCCTACAAAGCTGGAGACTATGGTTCAGTAAGTTTTGGAGCATGTAAGCGGCTAGGTCATAAGTTACCAGAGCTTAATGTTGAAGTTATAGATGAGAGGGGTGATCTGTAAATGAGACCAGAAAGTTGTGCTATCAATAAACTTTACATATATAGGACAATGGCAGGACGGAGGTTCGACGCCCCTAACTTGAAAGTACAAGAGGGGGTGAATTGTAAAAATTCTTTAGTCGACTAACTTTGTTCTTAGTTGACTACCAAGGTTCTGCAGATAAATGTTAGTACAACAAATAAAAGTAACAGACAGTAATAAAAATAAATAGGAGAGACAAAGATTTTTATACTAGTTCGTGTACCGATGTGGAACCTACATCCAGTTCCCTTGGGTCACAAGGGTTCTTTTAGATCTTCAATCGAATAGTTACAAATGTTGTTTTCTTCACGTTTACCACAAATGAGTTACAAATGAATTCTTGACACAACCTTTCAATCAATTTCTTTTTTCTCTCTATCTTTTGAGACACTAGTAAGCTTAGGAATACAATATTTTGTAAGAAATAGAAAGATTGTAAACTTATATGAAAGCTGAGTAAAATCCCAAGTCCTTTCTTCTCTTCTTATATAGAGCTTGATGAGGTTATTGGTTCCTTTCTCTATGATTTTTGAAAATCGTTGATTATATGATTTTCCTTTTGAATTAATGTATTCTAAGAGTAGGACCCAAGGGTTGCCTCTTGAATCTAGCGCGCGAAGCAAGGCCAGATTCATCCTTAGTTAATATGTGGAATCTGCCTTGAACTTCTTTCCAATCATTGAAGTTGAGTCTTCCGTTGATTTTGCATAATTGGTTGATTCCCTTTCCTTCCTTGATAGTCTTCCATCTATTTTGCATAGTTGATTGATTCACTTTCCTTCCTTATTTCATGATGTACGCACTTGATAGAAGGATTTGAATATGATAGTTGTCATTGGACCTTCCTTTGTTTCTTTCCTACTCTGATGCACTTTCCTTCTTGTGATTTGAATAGTTAACATGAACACGTGGTAGATACATTAGTAGAGAGTGTTTAACTTTTATTTTGAGTCATCGTTGAAATTTAAAACATAACAATCTCCCTCTTTTTGATGATGACAATAAACAAAAGAGTTTCAAGGATTTTGTAACACTTTCCTTCACATTGTATCCTTTTATATGTTGTGCTCCGCCGTCTTCATGCTCCACATGTCTTGCGCCCCCTATCTTTATACTCCTTTTCTTCTCCCCCTTTGATATCAATAAAAAAGAACAAGAAAAGATACATAGAAAATGACAGATAATGACATAAAATAACAATCATGCAGTACTTATATATACAACCAAGTAGTCCTGGTTTAAACATCCCATACAACAATTCCTTCCAAGGAAATACTTCAGAGTGTCGATCATTTTGGTGCAGAAATTGTCATAAGAGGCATCAATCTCCTTGGTGACTTTAATTAAACGATCAGTGACATCTTGTATAGTCCTAATCCTTTGTCTTTTTGTGGTCTGAAGATTGATTCTTAATCTAGCCACATCTGCTTCGGTTTCCTTTGTCACTTCCCTGATTTTGTCTACCTGTTCCTGCATAATGGTTAGCAAATCCTTGATACCTACAATGTTTTGTTGCATTAGTAATAACTGATATGAGGATGAAGATTGGTTGACTTCAGACTTAATTCCTTCAGTACCCTGTTATGTTGGGGTTGTAGATTCTAGGGCTATGTCTTTCTTGACCCAAGTCCTTTCAACTAAGGTGTACCCCATCATAGCAAATGTTGTTTTGTCATAAGTGCTAGAGAAGATCTTAGGGGGGAAATGGAGATAAATCCACATTCATCACTTTCAAAATATGAGAGATTAGTAGGCCATAGGGCAAACTGTTAGCAGAGGAAGAGACATACCTAATACTCTCAAGTATGAATTAACGTATCCAGGTGAACCAATCAATAGCTTTTTCATTAATAAGACAATACAAAACAAACACATGTATGATAGACAAGGTGCTAAGGGACCCAATGAAAGGTGGGAGTGTGGTAGCAATAATGTGGATTAACACGCGATGCTAAAAAATTTAGGTTCCTGCGACCTATATCAAGGGATTTTTAGACAGAACACTTTTTGCATCCTCAAAAGATACTTCAAAATCATCAGGCCATGAATGTTGTACAAAGAAACTATACCCAACAAACTTAGTTGAAAAGATATTTTCAAACTGATAAGAATCAAGAATGATGCAAGTCCCAAGAACCATAAATTCCAAATCATCTTTGTCATTCACAAACAAGTTTGCATAAAACATATGCACATGCTTTTCATAAACGGTATCACCAACAATAGCAAATAGAGATAAGAGTTTTTGAGTTTAAAATACATAGACAACATCATAGTGAAAATTCTTCATAGATTTTAAACTTATAGTGCATCCATAAGCAATCGACTTCCCTTTGTAGGCAACCAATTTGGACTTCTCCTCAGGACCATAGAAGTTCATCTTATCCTTAGGGACTAAATCCACACTTTTGATTTTCCCTTTCTTCTGTGATGATTGTTTGAGATTCGACTCCATTAGTCATTTGCCGGCCCCTTTTTTGAGTAATGAGAGTTTCCTCTAGAGAATAACTGGATTCTTCTTCAAAACACTTGATGATCTGAGCCCTATGATGATTCAATGTCAATAGGTTCATCAGTGTGGGTAATTTTGTTTTAACCGGTGACTTCTTCGAGACATAGGAAAGATGGAGAGGGTTTGGATTTAGCCATGAGAAGAAAACAGGGTTTCTGAGTGTGTCTGTGCGAGTGAGATATGAACGAGGGGGTGTCTAATAAAGAGAGAGATGGGTGATGAAAAGTTGCCTCAACTAGAGAGAGACGTGTGAAAGACAACTGAAAAGTTGCCTTCTAGAGAAACATCGTCAATCACATAATTAATGCATGCAAAGAGTAAACAATCAATAAAAGATTTTTTAGGCGGAAATTTTAAAACATTGTAAAAGAATTTCGAAACAAATATGGAACTGATGAGAATTATAAGGAAATTAAAAATATACCTATTTTATCGCGAAAGGAACAAAATCTTTCTTCAAGCAGAGGTTTCGTAAAAATATCGACAAGCTAATTTTCAGTGTTAACAAATTCTAATACAATATCACCTTTTGCAACATGATCACGAATAAAATGATGCTTGATTTCAATGCACTTAGCTCTAGAATGATGCACATAACTTTTAGAAAGACAAATAACACTAGTATTGTCACACATAATTTGAACAAATTTGAAATAGAAATCATAATCTAAAAGTTGATGCATAATCCATAGAACTTGTGTGCAACAGTTGCATACAACCAGATATTCTACTTCAGTAGTAGACAATGCAACACAATTTTGTTTCTTGCCATGCCAGAAAATAAGTGACTTTTCCAGTAACTGAGAAGTTCCCTCGTACGTTTTTTGTCAATTGTCACCTGCAAAATCTGCATCTGAGAAACCTTTGAGATAAACAATATTTAAGCTTTCATACCATAGTCCATAGTCGACTGTCCTATCAGTTATTTAATAATTCATTTAACAACAGTTAAATGAGACTCTTTGGGAGTTGAATGATACCTTGTGACTTAACAACGTCGAACATAATATCTGGTCGACTTGCAGTAAGATAAAGTAAAGATCCAATCATACCAATACATTGTTTCATCAATGCTCTTACCATTTCTCTCTTCATCAAGGATGGTTGACAGACTCATGGGAGTCCCTATA